ATTAAGAAGGATTTAGAAAATTGGAAGGACCTTCAACTATCTCTAATGGGGAGAATAGCTACCATTAAAATGAACCTACTTCCAGAACTGATATTTCTATTCCAAACTATACCAATAATACAAAACCAAACAAAAACTAGATCATATCTTTGTAAACTGGGTTGTTTGGAATGATATCTTGTTCAGACAAAAATTGCATTAGTGGAAACCAGGCTGCCTCAAAATTAGAACTCATGAAGAAATCAAACACCTTCTGTCCTGGTTTAAACTGAGATCTAGGTTTCCTTGTTCATTATAATTTCTAATAACTTTTAAGAACTTCAGTAGGCTGTTCTTAACAAGTTGTATCATATCTTAACTCTTAACTGATATTAGTCAATTTTCTCATGCTTTCCTAATTAGTTCATTTACCCTACTCTATTTCACTTTTATTTTTCATGGCATGTGAGAGAAAAGAATGTTTGACCTCTTTCACCATCCATTCACCTACCCAAGTAGTTCAAGTCCCTACACAGAGAAGCTGTCCTAGGCTTCCCTCTGTTCAACTCCTCCCTCTTTCTTCCTCCCCTTTTGTAACTTTCTGTAAAAAACGAGGTAAACCAGTTTCTTTCTTCCAATTGCCCCTGGACTTCTGTTTGGTTTGCTACAATGGACTACCATGGTGACCAATGTTCCCTCTAAGCTGAGTTAGTGTGAGCTAGCTCACAGTTTTTGAGCCTCCGGCTCACACATTTTTGTCTTAGCTCAGGAGAAATGGCTCCAGAGCAAACCAGTTTATGCAGTAGCCAAATCACCTGCTCACAACTTTAATGCCAGTAGCTCACCAAGTAGAATTTTTGCTCACAAGACTCCATAGCTTAGAGGGAACATTGATGGTGACCCCTCTAGAAATTACTTTTGTGCCTTCAGCAGCTTCGGGATGTGCAAAAAACCAGCAGCTTAAGACACCCTCCCCTTCTCTGGGACTGAGAAGGCTGAGAAGGCTGAGGCGTACCTGTCCTCCAGCACTGGCTGATCGAAGGCGAGAACAACCTGTCAGCCACAAGTGCTCCTTACCCACTCTTCTGGAATACGGGGAGGGGCCCACATTGGTGAAGAACCACAGGCAGCATATCAAAGAACCTCATGTGGCTTCCAAACTGCTGAGTATTACTGATTTAGTTGGAAGAAAAATATAAGGATGGGGCAGACAAACTCTCAAACTTCGCCAGCCCTTCTTATGGTAACTGAAATCCTCTTTTGCGTCCACAAAGCTACTGTCAGTTAATCCATCCATCAATTCTTGGCCAGATATCTGCACATGCACTCCACTCTACCACCCCTTGCTGGCTGTGAGCAGTGACACCTCTTGGTCAAATGTGGTAGTGCTATTTGAATTTCTGTTTGGAACAAGAAAGGATTTGCATTGGTTGTCAATATGATAAAACCATCCAATGATCGTCCGACCTCAGAATGTCAGGTAATTTCCTACTAATCTTCCCACCAGATTTTGACAGCCATTACCTCCAAACTTCCCAGTCAAATTCAAGGTTCATATTTTGGACCAATCATGTTCCTGTGAAAGAGGGTTCCCATGTCTAACTATGGGACTCAAAACAGTTCAATGCATCTTCAGCGACTTACAACTTCTACTGGATAATGACAGTTCTCTTTCACAAGTACTGGGGGGGAAACTTTTTCCTGCACACAGACAGCCCCCCAATCTCAAACAACTCCTCAACCACAATAATACAACATCTAATTTGAACATGGACACTGGTACCAGGGCTTGCAATAAACCCAGATGACTACTTTGCTGCCACATACACCCAGGCAACACTATCGCTGGACGTAGCAAGATCAACTACACCATCTCTGGTACATTCAGTTGCTTATCTTCTAACACTGTATATGCCATTAAATGTCAGCCATGCCCTTCAGTCCTCTACATAGGGCAAACAGGTCAAACACTACACCAAAGGATAAATGGACACAAATCTGACATCAAGAATCACAAAACTGCAAAACCTGTAGGAGAACATTTCAACCTCCCAGGGAACTCAGTGGGGGACCTCAAAATAGCTGCTTTGCTGCTAAGGAATTTCAGAAACAGATTGAAATGGGAGCTTGTTGAATTACAAGTTATCACAATGCTCAGAACAATGGAACTCCCAGGGCTTAACAGAGATATCGGGTTCTTATCTCACTAAACATACTAAGTCATTCAGTTCTTGCTTATACTCAGAATTAAACTTTGTTGGTTGTAAAGGTGCCACTGGACTCAAACTTAGTTCTCACATCTATTTGTTAACTCTTTTATTATCTGTATGCTAATTTGCTGCTCTTCACAGGTCTTACCAACTGCTTTAATCCAATCTCTGCTATACTTATCACTCAGTTATTTATGCATCTTGACTCTAATTAGCCCTTCCTGGCAAGTAAACCCCTCCCTCCAATATATAATGGTTGAGGAAATCTTGTTTCATTGTATCTGAAGAGTGTGCATGCCCACAACAGTTTATACCCAGCATTAAACTCTGTTGGTCTTAAAGATGCCACTGGACTCGAACTTTGTTCTGCTGCTTCAGAACAACATGGCAACCCACCTGAATTTAAGCCTACATGTAAATGATCTCTCTTCTGTGATGTATTTAAGAGCTTGGGCTTATCCACAAGGGTCCAAAGGTGGGTTGGTGCCAAAGGGACCGCTGCCATCACAGACAGTGGAACTTGCTACAAATCTGAAAGCCAGGCTTCTAGAGACTTAGTGTTCTGTATTGAACTCGCGTTTCACCTGAGCACGGACTTAACTTTGTTCACAGAACAACAGGGGACCAGGATCCTGGAAGGAACCTATTGTAAAGGAGTTCATATGTAAATAGCCAGTCACGGGGAGTGGGTGTGTGAGTTGGGTGAGGTGTTGAGCACGCATTTAAGCAGGGCTTCGGTCCTGCTTCAGTTGTCTTAGAGTTGAACTAATCACTGAATAAAGCATGAGCTGATCACTCAACGCGTCTGAACCCAGTTTGTTTATTATTATTATTGTTGTTGTTGTTGTTGTTGTTATTATATTCAATTTATATACCGCTCTAACCTAACAGGTCTCTGAGCGGTTTACAGTTTCCAGATTCCCCTAACTAGGGCCACATATATTTCACGTAGCTTGACTTGCTTAATTGAGTGTAGTTCTGTTTTGTATGCAGAAACCAAAAGACCTAGCCTGGGTTTTATTGTTACTGTGTTTATTAACCTGTCTTCATTCACCTAGATGGCCCTCTCTCAACCGGTCTCTCAGGCTACCCAGATCTCATTAGGTCTTGGCTGCTAAGCAGCGTTGGCCCTTTTTAGTACTTGGATGGGAGCCCACCAAAGAAATGCAGGGTCGCCACACAGAGGCAGGCGACGGCAAACCACCTCTGAACGTCTGTTGCCTTCAAAACCCCCTTTTTTTTTGTAAATTTATTTATACTTTTCCAACAAAAAAGAAAATCAGTAACTGGCCTTCAAAACCCCTTGAGGGGTCACTGCAAGTCGGCTGTGACTTGACAACACTTCCCACCACCATCCACTTTGAACGGGTGTTTCTTCACCAAGGGCAAGGGTCATTTCCTGCGGGAGCGCACAGGAGTGGAGCTCCGGCAGTAAGGAGCCCAGGGGGCGGGCACGTGCAACAAGCCCCGCCCCCTGCTCCCGGCCCACCTTCAGGTACAAGCTCTCCCTCCTCTGCGAGGACAGATCTGCACGTCCCCCCCCCGTAGCTATCAATCCAAAACAATCCAGTGGAGCCTGAGCGGTGAGTGTTGCCTTCTCACACACTTCCGATGATGTCAGGGGGTGTGGCATATGCAAATAAGTTATGCTAATCAGCTCCTGCACCTCTTTTTCTACTAAATGACCCTTGACCAAGGGTGTGTGTGATTTCTGATTAAACTTTCAGATTAAAGTGGTACCTGTGCTTGTATCTTGGATCTCAGATTTTACAGATTTTATTGTGTCATTGATAACAGTCTTCTAGACAGTCTTAACTTTCTGGGTAGGGTTGCCAAATCCTGAAACCTTACCGGCGGGGGAGGCTCCGTCCTGGTCAGGAGCCGGCTGTGTGTGTGCGCGCGTGCACCGCCGCAACATCACCGGAAGTGATGTCAGACGTTGCTGACGTTGCAGGCGTGGCCGAGCTCGTCGGGGGGAAAACATATGGTTCCCCCCCCGACAAGCTCAGCCACGCCCCAAATGTCAGCAACGTGGCAGCTTCGGGGGCAGGGTTCCCCCCGGGCCCCGATTCCGCCGGGGCGGAACTCGGGGCTCCGAAGCGGGGGATTCCCCGCCCCCCGGGGTCATTTGGCAACCCTATTTATTTCTGGGAAAAGTAGCTTTTGTAGGTGAAATGGATTGTTTCAGGAAGCACGCACTGTTTTGTGTCATTTTGGTTGGTTCTAATAAAATATATTATTTACTTACTTAGTAAATACGAAGTATTTATTTACTACCCTGCCTTTCTCCCCAATGGGGACCCATTATGTGGACTGTGGTTGTTATGTATTGGAATTGCTTGTGTGAATCGTCTCATTCACTTCCCATTCAAAGCTTGAGCCGAACGAAGGCTCCGCAGAACAGCGTTGCCATTGGTCGCCCTCGCACAGCGACCCATCAGGAACTGCACAGCTACAGCGAGGGAAAGTCTCTTATTGGTTGTTAAATACTCAATCTTATTGGTTGTTAATTGTAAATAGGCGTGGCTATATTAGCCCGGGAGTGTTTAAAAGGAGCATAGCTCCCAATGTGAAGTTGTTCTGATTTTGAATGCGTTTGAGTGTTTGTTCGCTACTTCAAATAAAGCTGAATCACTGAGCTGAAATCATTCTCCGATCCTTTGTTAGTGTGATCTAACAATTGGCGACGAGGATGGGATTTTAGAGCAGGTAGGCAGCCCTGCAAACAACCCCACGCCGGAAGAAAGCAAACCAAACACAGCAGCCGATCAAGCGGAGGCGCCACCAGCACCGGTGCCCAAGTCTCCCGAGATGGCTGGAAATCAGAAGTTCGAGTCGTTCGAACCCGCATCTGAGGACTGGGACGCGTACCTTGCCCAGTTCGAATTTCATCTTGAGACCAACGACATCACCGACGAGGCGAAGAAGAGGGCGAGCCTGATCAGCTCCTGTGGAAAAGGCACTTTTGACATCACCAGGTCGTTGGTAGCTCCGGCCGACATCAAGACGGTGTCGTTCGCTGAGCAGACAAAGAAGCTAAAGACCCATTTTTCACCCCAACCTTCTGAGATCGCCTGCCGGCATGCGTTTTACAAGCGGAGCCAGGCAGGGAACGAGACCATCACAGAGTTTGTAGCGGCTCTTAGCAAAGCCGCACGACCATGTAACTTCACGGATGTGGAGGAGGCCCTCAGGGACCGACTCGTTTGCGGCCTAAAAGATGAGAGGTTGCAACAGAAGCTATTCGCCCGCACCACCCTGACCTGGGCAGTGGCCTACAAAAAGGCCGTGGCCGCTGAGGCAGCGGACAAGTCTACAAAAGAGGTCCGTCAGCGGCTGGCAGAGCACAGCATTCACTCTCAACATGACAGCAAGGGCGATGAAGCGGACGATGACGTCAACGCAATTCGAGGCAAGCGGACCCCAGCGAAGCCTGCCGTTTTCAAGCCATGCTCCGGTTGTGGCGGGAAATACCAGCGCGACTCCTGTTGGGCTCGAGATGTCGACTGCAGAGCGTGTGGGCGACGTGGACACCTCGCCAGAGTCTGCAGGTCAGCGCAGAAGGACTCTACACCCAACAGCCGGACGGCGCAGAAGAGCACACCAACCTACACCAGAGGCAAGCAGCATTTTCCGGCATCGGAGACAAACTGCCAGATGACAGTGACCCTGAGAAGCGCATCGGCCGTCAATCGCACCAGTTGCCAGGGCAAGATCACCGTGACCCCACTACTCGACGGTAGACCGTGCACCATGGAGGTAGATTCCGGCTCTTCAGTAACGGTGATATCTGCCGCGTCCTGGCAACAGCTGTTCCCGAACCGAAGCCGGCGCCGGCTCCAGCCTGCAGAAACCAGAGTGTCCGATTTCCAGGGCAACCGAATCCCTCTGGCCGGACGGGACTCTGTAAACGTTGAGTATAAGGGGAAATGTGTTAAGCTGCCATTCCTGATTGCTGAGGGAGACCGGGTCAACCTGCTAGGGTTGGATTGGTTTGAGCCATTGGGCATCGGTATTTCTGGTATTAACAAAGTGTCTGAAAATAAATGGGGCATGCTGTACGATCTGTTCCCTGATGTATTTGCCGAAGGGTTGGGGAGGTACAAGGGCCCCCCGGTTGCATTTAATTTAGATCCGTCAATCAAACCGATTAGGTTAAAATATCGAAAAAAGTGCCTGTGTCTCTCAAGCATAAAGTTGAGAAAGAGCTCAACAAACTAATTGAGCAGGGAATTTTAGAGCCTGTACCCTATAGCAAATGGGCGACCCCAATCGTAACCCCTGTTAAATCGGATGGGTCCATACGGATTTGCGCAGATTACAAATGTACGATTAAGAAGGTGCTACAGCAACATTCGTACCCAGTCCCGGTGATAAGCCACATTCTGGCTTCCTTGGGGGGTGGCAAGATCTTCGCCAAATTTGACCTGGCCCCGGCATACCAACAATTGCCTGTCACCCCGGAGGCTGCAGAGGCCCAAACAATTGTAACCCACCAAGGGGCCTTTAAAGTCAACAGGCTACAATTCAGGGTCAACGTGGCACCAGGGATCTTTCAGGGCCTCATGGAACATTTACTGAGGGGGGTACCGGGCACGGTGCCCTATTTTGACGACGTGCTGATTGCGGGTGGGTCCGAACAGGAATTACTGGACCGGGTTAAAGAGGTCCTCAGGCGTTTTCAAAATGCCGGTCTCAGAGTTAAGCGCTCAAAATGCACGCTGGGGGTGGAAAGCGTGGAATTTCTGGGGTTTCACATTGACGCAGAGGGAGTCCACCCCACGGATGAGAAGGTGTCTGCGATCCAAAACGCCCCCAGGACGGTGAGTAGAAAGGAGCTCCAATCTTTTTTAGGACTCCTGAATTTTTATCATGTGTTTTTATCGCATAAGGCATCAGTGGCTGCCCCTTTGCACACACTTTTCCATAAGGAGGCGAAATGGAAATGGGGGCAGGCCGAGGAAATGGCTTTTGTGGGAGTCAAGGAGCTGCTGACATCTAATGCCGTACTCACGCATTATGATGAACACAAGCTCCTGGTGTTAGCTGCTGACGCTTCACCTTTTAGAGTAGGCGCAGTTTTAAGCCACTTGATGCCTGATGGGAGCGAGGCGCCTATCGCTTTTTATTCTAGATCGCTATCTGAGGCAGAGCGGAACTATGCCCAGATAGACAAGGAGGGTCTGGCATTGGTAGCGGCTGTCAAAAAGTTCCATGATTTTATTTTTGGCACATGATTTTTGCTGGTTACTGACCACAAGCCGCTACTGGGGATTTTTGCGCCCGATAAGCAATTGCCAAATATCATGTCCCCACGCATGCTTAGATGGGCGATTTTTTTGCAGGCATACAATTTTGACTTAGAGCACCGGCCTGGGAAAGCAATTGGACACGCGGATGCCCTCAGCCGGTGCCCATTGCCTGATATCGGCACAGACCCTGCCCCCGCCTGTGAGGTCTTGGCAATCGAGGAACTCCCTCGACCCCGGTATCATCCAAAGATATCACAACCCATACTGCTAAGGACAGCGTGTTGTCGAGAATGCTGAACTGGGTTTGGAGGGGGTGGCCGGTAGGGAGCCTAGAACCAGAATTCCAACCATACAAAGCCCACCAAAAAGAGCTCTCAATTTCAAAAGGGTGCATTCTCTGGGGAAACAGGGTGGTAATTCCTGACAAACTTAGAAAGACGGTTTTGGAATCCCTGCATGAAGGTCACCCTGGCATGGTGCACATGAAGGCACTAGCCAGGGGGTATGTGTGGTGGCCGGGGCTGGATGCAGAGATTGAAGAATGGGTTTACGTCTGCACAAAATGTCAGCAAAATAGACCTGAACCCCCTCAGGCGTCACCACAGCAGTGGGAACCCACAGGTAAACCCTGGTCAAGGGTCCACATTGATTTTGCTGGCCCAATACAAGGGCAAATGTTCCTAATCGTGGTTGACTCAATGTTGAAACGGTTGGAAGTAGTTCAAATGCATACGACTACTTCCCTTGCTGTGATTCATGCGTTGCGCCGGCTGTTCGCATCACACGGACTGCTGGACACCCTGGTCAGTGATAACGGGCCCCAATTCACATCCCAAGAGTTCGGTAAATTCCTTGCAGACAATGGCATTCGCCATGTAACGTCTGCACCATTCCATCCAGCATCTAACGGGCAAGCCGAGAGGATGGTCCGCACGGCAAAAGAGGCTCTGGGCAAACTTCACGAGGAGGACTGGAATGTCAGACTGGCCGATTTTCTGTTGAGGCAGCACTCTACGCCATCTAGTGTCACGGGTAAAAGTCCCGCAGAGTTGTTAATGGGAAGGCGCCTAACGACCCGTTTAAATAGACTACACCCAGATCTTAACGATCATGAGCCTGACCGAAGAGACACACAAGTGAATGTGCGCATATTTCAGGCTGGTGACAAGGTGTTTGCCCAAAACTATGCTGCTGGGCACTCCTGGGTCCCTGGGGTGGTGGGCGAGTGTATAGGCACCCGCATGTATGTTATACAACTAAGTGATGGGAGAAAGTGGCGGCGCCACATTGACCAACTGAGACAGAGATGGGCAAAGGACAGTGCTGACTCTTCTCCAGCTGAGCTCCCTGAACTTAACTCTAGGCCTCTAGAAGAGGCGGTTACCGAACCACCCGGTACTATCCCAGCAGCGGGACAGACCCCCGATCGTGAGGTTATAGATCCTGCAATAAATGTGCCTGAATCAGAGTGTGCAAGTGCTCCGCAAACCTCGCCCTCTGAGCCTGCACCGCTCCGCAGGTCACAGCGGACGCGGCAACCGCCATCGTACCTTGCAGTTTAAAGTTAAAGGTAAAGATTCCCTTGCTCGAAAGCCAGTCGAATCCGACTCTAGGGTTGCGGTGCTCATCTCCGTTTCAAAGCCGAAGAGCCAGCGCTGTCCGAAGACGTTTCCGTGGTTATGTGGCCGGCATGACTAAACACCAAGGCGCACGGAACGCTGTTACCTTTTCACCGAAATGGTACCTATTTATCTACTTGCAATTTCTTGCTTTCGAACTGCTAGGTTGGCAGGAGCTGGAACTAGAGACAGGAGCTCACCCTGTCTTGCGGCACCCGGGTCTTGAACCGCTGAACTACTGAGCTTCCACAGCCTGCAGTTCAGCGTCTTAACCACTTGAGCCACCGCAGCTCCTTACCTTGCAGATTACGATTGTAATAAAGTGCTTCACACTGGGTAATGTCTTTACTAAGGGGGGAGGAATTGTTATGTATTGGAATTGCTTGTGTGAATCGTCTCATTCACTTCCCATTCAAAGCTTGAGCCGAACGAAGGCTCCGCAGAACAGCGTTACCATTGGTCGCCCTCGCACAGCGACCCATCAGGAACTGCACAGCTACAGCGAGGGAAAGTCTCTTATTGGTTGTTAAATACTCAATCTTATTGGTTGTTAATTGTAAATAGGCGTGGCTATATTAGCCCGGGAGTGTTTAAAAGGAGCATAGCTCCCAATGTGAAGTTGTTCTGATTTTGAATGCGTTTGAGTGTTTGTTCGCTACTTCAAATAAAGCTGAATCACTGAGCTGAAATCATTCTCCGATCCTTTGTTAGCGCGATCTAACAGTGGTTGTTTGTGGACCTTGTTCCAGAAAACCCTGAACACGAACAGCAGTTGAGCAGGACACAATGCTGGCCTTGCAGGAGACCAACCAGGAAACGTCTAGGCTCCGGCCCTGCGCCTCTCTCTGCTTCCTTTCAAAGGAGACCTAAAAACATCCGGTGAGCGAAGCAGAAAGGGATGGTGTGAGGAACGGAGGAGGAGGAGCCTTTTGTGTAGCTGTTTTGACCAAGTGTAGGTGCTTAGAAACAGCTGAACTGGGGATCCTGAGCAAACTGGGAGGTGGACACTGGCGTTACCTTAAATAGAAATGCAAATGTGGTGTTGGATTCCTTTAGCAAGATTTAATGAGAGCTGCAACCATAAGACCACCAGCAAGACATGATAAACGAGCTGGCAAAAGCTTCAGTTTTTAATACTTTATTTTTCACAGTAATTTCCTCAAGAGCAGCCCAACTTGGCCACCTGTTCAAAACCAGCACAAATTCACTCCAATTTCTATCTGACGAGTTCATGGGTTGGATGAGCTCACTGACTGTATCTCTTCACTTGAAGACCGGTAGTTTATAGTACAGCACTCTGCACACTTCACTGAGCTGTGGCAAGTCAAGGAGAGGTTCTTGAGGATTTAGTTTCCTTTAGGTAGGAGAGAGGCTTGTTGTATAAACATACAAAGAGTACATACTGGAACCAATTGATTCCTATAGCAGAAAGCAAAACCACTGATCCTGTGTCAGATCCCAGACCAGGAGGAAACTCTAAGCTCTGTGTCTGTCACTCCTGTGTATCTCCTTCCAACCTGTTTTTAGTGTGCCAGTCTGCAGCAGAGGACTGGAAGAAATGACTAGGCTGTTGCACACAATGGCATTAACCTGTTCCCAGTTTATTTACCCTCCCTAGTTCTTTGTGAATGCAACCATAAATACCGAGTGTTATGTATTCACTGTATTAAATGTAATGTTAAGCTTGAGACCTTAGCCAGGATTCTAAGCTAGAACAATCCTATTGGCTAATGCTTAAGTGTAACCAATCAGATGCAAGAGAACTGTGCTGGAAGGAACAAATCTGATTGGACATTACTGTAACAATGCTATTGGTCCTTAACTATTCTAGGGCGTGGGTACATTAACTCCGGGATAGTTTAAAAGGGAGCTATGCTCCACTGTTTGTTGTTGTGTGTTATTCAGATGTTCCTGCTGATAATAAAGCTGAATCACTTAGGCCTTGAGTCAATACCTGACACCAAGGATAATTTAAAAGGACAGCACCCCAAAACAAGGTTTGGACCAGGACATATCATACACCCCCAATATCCAGGAGACTCTGTCCTCCAAGTGGACCTGTGCTGTTTCCTGGTCCAAAGCCCAGTTCTCCTGCTAAAAGCTCTAAAAGGAGACAGTTCCCCCGGAATTAGTTCATCCCCAGGGTACAGGGATCAGTTCCTCTGGAGAAAACGGGTGCTTTGGCGGGTAGACTCTCTGGCATTGTGCCCCAGCACTGAGGTCCCTGTCCTCCCCCCCAGGTTCCACCCCCTGACCTCCAGGAGTCTCCCAGGCTGGAGGGGAGAACTCTACCCTCCCCCAGTAGCCAAGGGGGACCTGGCAACCCTCAGCCCCCGCAGGAAGGCATGCCCGGGTGCCTGCTTCAAACACTGGTTCTGGCACCAACTTGTGTTTCTATTTTGGTTGTCACCAAGAAGCTTATGTTGGGATTTGAATAAAGAACTGGAGCAAGTGGAATAAAGTATTGGGGGCGGGGTTAGCATGAAGAGATGGATCATCCAAAATCATGTATGTGTAATACCTTTAGATAATGAAAATGATGCCACATTTCTTGTTATGGTATTTATTACTGGTTGATTTCAGAAACGAGAAAAATCCCCTTTCGGTGCCCACAGCAGAGCATCCTCTTGCACAGACTCAGGTGGGCAGCACTGCCGGTCTTCTTCAGCACAGGAAAGCTGATACCCAGAAGAACACTTCATTGGCCTTAAAGGGACCACTCGACTCAAACTTTGTTCTTATCCTATTGCATGAAAAGAGATGCAAGCAGGAAAAGGGGGGGGAGATGCCGACCTATTAAATATACCCCCAAGAGCTTACTAGAGAGGTCATCCAACAGCAAAGACATGAGGGGGGAAGCCCAAAAGGACCAAAACCAGAACTAGAGAAAAGATGAACTCCAAGGCCGCCGAAGGGGGGTGGGGTGGGGGGGCTGCAAGGCAGAGAGAGCCTGGGGAACTCTCCTCCTCTGGAACCTGGCTCGGTTTCCTGCCCTTTCCTTTGCTTTCAAAGCAGGCCTCTGAGACTCCGCATTTGACTGGGGCAGGGGAGGGGGCTTTAACCCTTATTGAATAAAGAACTGGAGCAAGTGGAATACAGTCTTGGGGGCGGGGTTAGCATGAAGAGATAGATCATCCAAAATCATGTACGTGTAATACCTTTAGATAATGAAAATGACAAATGATGCCACATTTCTTGTTATGATATTTATTACTGGTTGATTTCAGAAACGAGAAAAATCCCCTTTCGGTGCCCACAGCAGAGCATCCTCTTGCACAGACTCAGGTGGGCAGCACTGCCGGTCTTCTTCAGCACAGGAAAGCTGATACCCAGAAGAACACTTCATTGGCCTTAAAGGGACCACTCGACTCAAACTTTGTTCTTATCCTATTGCATGAAAAGAGATGCAAGCAGGAAAAGGGGGGGGAGATGCCGACCTATTAAATATACCCCCAAGAGCTTACTAGAGAGGTCATCCAACAGCAAAGACATGAGGGGGGAAGCCCAAAAGGACCAAAACCAGAACTAGAGAAAAGATGAACTCCAAGGCAGCCGAAGGGGGGTGGGGTGGGGGGGCTGCAAGGCAGAGAGAGCCTGGGGAACTCTCCTCCTCTGGAACCTGGCTCGGTTTCCTGCCCTTTCCTTTGCTTTCAAAGCAGGCCTCTGAGACTCCGCATTTGACTGGGGCAGGGGAGGGGGCTTTAACCCGGTCTTCTCAATCATGGCGCGGCATTTGCTCCACGGGGGGGGGGGAGGCCGAA